TCTACACTTTTGTTTTTGTAGTACGGCATAAATGAGTAGTTTGATGTGTGAGAATTTTTGCCTAAAGTGCTCAGCAATGTCTTGTAGGGTTATGTTGCCAACAGCTACATATCTACAATAAACTAAAGGTGTGTGCGTACTTGTTGCCAATCTGCTCCACCTATTTAATGACGGTAATTGACAATTTAAAGCGGCAAGATGCGCTTTGATGTTGCCCCGTTGTCGGCGGGAAGAGATATTCAAAAGACGGCGGCATCTTGGCTTGGTTGGTGTCGTTTCCTCCTGCCTTCGCTTGCTAAATGCCGATAACAATCACGTTGACAGCATTTGCCTACTACTTAGGCGCAGAAACACGTAGTGCATCGGATAAGCGGTCATAGATCAAGATCAACTCAAAGCTGCAGGCGTTGAAGGTGTTTTATGCAATATTCGGAAGGAGGATTTTTGTAGCAAATACATTCCTACATATAGTGACTTACACAAGTGTGTATTTTTCTTAAATAATCACAAGGTTTTTACGTTNCGGTTGAAACTTGCACTTGACGACTAAACGTGTATGGGCTATAAAACTCTATACCCAGAAATATTCTAAAAATTTAGATAATAAAAGCCCAAAATTTTTATGAAAATTTTTTTAATTTTCCTAAATTTTGTATAAAGTTTATACTGCGAATGCCGATTTATACTAAAGCATACATAAGCTACTTTTCCATACGAACACAGATATTTAAAAGAAAAATTAACACGTGTACACTTGTTTGAGTCACTGTATTAGGCAAGCTGAGGGCATATTGGACAGTCAAGGTCGGGATTTTCTGGGCATATTGGACAGTCAAGGTCGGGATTTTCTGGGTCCTAGTGCCATTTTTTCAGTTACGTGATTTTATGTATTAACTAACTAAGGGGGGGAAAGGGGTGTGGAATATAGAATAACCTCAATATTGTTACTAAAATTTAACGGTATGTTCCGGAAATAGTATTTATTATCAAATTTAGATCATGGAATTTTAACGAAGTGCGGCCACCACTGTTGTGTTGAGTAGTTGGAGGTGTATACTGCCACCAGACGCCATGTCCGATTCGACGAAAGCCCAATTTTTTCTAATACACAACGAATTCTATTAATTAATTAATTTAAACTTGGTCTCCCTGGGTGAAAAAAATGTTTCGCTTAATATGTTGCACATTTCATTTTGCTCTAAAAACTTTAAATAATATCGAGCCCTAACCGCGAAGGAGGTGGAACGAATGTACTTTTCCCCTCTCTGCTCACCTCCTTCGCCAACGAACCGAGCAGACTTGAAAGCAAGACTTGACGTGTCTGAAAGGGGTCTAAGCGACATTTTTTCAAAATTTTCTTTATTATTCAGAAATATTCCTAGAACATCTAGATACATTTCTGTATCAAAAAGAAAATTTTGAAAAATATGTCGCTTATGTTGTTTTGGCGGTTAGGGCTCAATATGTTTATTGTGTCAACAAAGCATATTTTCTCTGTAATCTACTATTGTGTGTTTGTTAAATATAGCAGAATATCATTGGTTTTTGTTATATTTTTTATTCAGTTACCTGTTTTTGGTTTCACCCGTTTTTAGCTGAACCATTGCAACCATTTAAATTATGAAAATTTACACAATTTTCCTTTGAACAACACAATAGCACAAACAGTTCGACAACAATCAGCTGCAGCCAAAAGTCAGTACAGTGCATATTGACTACGAAATTTCTACAGAAATACATAAATAGGCCATTGGCGGTATAACAGGTGTTAATACATATACATATGTATGGATGTATGTACATATGCACATGTCGGATATGTATGCAATTGGACAAGGTATGACCCAAAAAGAAAATGATTTTCATTTTTCATTAAGCTACGGTTACTATGCATGCGTATTCTGACGAACTTTTGTTCTGACGATTTCTTCGGAACAAAAAAATACGAAACAAACAAACAAACAGGCATTTTTTTTTGTTGCGACGAAATCGTCAGAATAAAAGTAAACGCATGCATAGTAACCGTCGCCTTAGGCACAACAATACAAAGCTTTTGATTTTTCACCAAAAAATTTTATTCAGTTTTCGATTTTAAACACAGAACAGCTCACATAACGGTATTTTGAGGCAATTTCTCATGCAGCAACAGAT